GAGTACAAGCGCGAAGAATTACGCACATAGAAACAAAAATCGTACAAAACGACCAGGTATAACCAGAGATACGGCCATTTAAAACACAAGACACCCAAAAAGGGAGTCACACATATCACAACTACGAGCCATCACAGCACGAACATAAAGAACACCACGGCACGCTCACATCCAACAAGAGACAGTGTCGGGTTGAAAAGACAACCGATCACAGAAAAATTGAAGCAAAATTAAACTAAAATACAAGTCAAGCCATCAAAAGACCACAACGAAAACCACCTAGGGAGCGACAGGTGCACACAGGGATCCCCGCAGAGGGGCCCCCGAGGCGGTGCCTACCTACGACGAGCGCAGGCAGACACCGCCAAAGTGGCGCTGGATGTGGTCAGCGTTCATCTGATGGACCAGCGCCGCAAAGCGACCCTTCCACCGAGGAACAAAGGCCTCATCCAGCCCCGGCTGGTACACACCACGGGCCTCGGCGCAGCGGGCGAGCTGACCAAGCAGATCCACAAAGGAGGAGGCGAACCCACCGGTTGTCGTCATCGCCGCAGGGACGATCAGAGTTTTTCCATGGTTGAAACCGGTGTAGTACTCGCGCTTCTCCTTTTCGGCTCGGCGAAGGGCAGCGCCCACCTTGATGCAGGCTTGCGAGGTGGTCGGGGGTTGGGCTGTGCGCACAGTCACGTCAATGCCCAGGTCGGGCAGAGCTGGGCCCAGAGCACCGCCGGGAAAGGGGTTGCGGCAGTGCAGGTCGATGCGGCAGCTCTGACCGTTGGCGTTGTAGCCAGACTTTTCCACCCAGACATGGGAGAGGGTGGCGTACCTGAGCAGGCGGCCCATCTCGTCGCGAAGGGCGTTGTGTCGCTTGATGGGACGGCAGGTCAGCAGGTGCTCGCGGGTCAGTCGCGGCTGAGGTGTCTTGCTGCTGCAGAGCGGGCACTTGTCCGTCGGCTTGATGTTGATGAGTTCATGGAGGCCAAAACCCATCATGGACACAACCGCAATGGCAAAGGTCGTGTCGCTCAAGCGACGCAACTTGTCTCAACCCCGCATGGTCAAGACTGTGCTGACGCCCCACTCGCGTGAGGCCAGATATGCCTGCTGCAGGTCCAGCGCACACTTGGCCATCAGGTCGTCCAGTGCCGCCTTGGAGCGGAGGGCAATGATCTCAGCTGGTCGCTGGGTCGCCGCGTCCTTGACCGTGGCCATCTGGAAGCCAGCTCGCTGCACGTGGACCTCAAAGTCGGCAGCCCTCGATGCATCCTCCAAGAGTCGATCGTAAACTCGAGGGTAGCGAGTGGCCAGCTTGGCCATGTTGCAGACATAAGCCACCGGACCGCGCTCAACCAAGTCGTGCAGGCCAAAGCCCCCGGTGTTGGCCCGCGTGAAGATGCGAGCTTCCAGGAGCTGTTCCAGCGTAACGTCATGACCTTCGGCTCCAGCTGGTGCAGACAGGTTTACCTTGGCAAAAAAGGCTTTGACAAAGGTGTCCTTGCAAGCACGGTTCAAGAGCTCGGACAAGCCCGACGTGAGACTTGGGGGCAGCGTGTAGAGGTGGTTGATGAGGCTAGGCACGTACTGCATGGCCGTGAGGAGGGCCTGAAGCGAGACACCGGTCGTCAGCATGTCATTGAGCTTGCCAGAGATGTGCTTTGCCTTGTCGTTCAGCTGCTTCTTCATCCACTCGCGATGGCCAATCGGCGTTCCCAAGACCGTCATGCCCGTGTTGGCCGTCTCGCGCACGGCATCTGGCAAGACAGACTTGATAGCAGTGATGGAAGCGGGATGGTGGCGAGGCATGTAGAAGCGGCTCTTACTGGGCTGCAGATGGAGGCCAGCAGACTCTGCACGAGCCTTGACAATCTCCACGTCGGCCGCCACGTCCTCCGCGGGACCCATCAGTACAATGTCGTCGAGGTATTTGATGGCCTTGCAGCGGTAGTCAGTGGTGGCGTCGAGGAGACCCAGGACCTCACAGGAGTACAGGGCAAAGAAGAAGGGCGATAGCTCGTTGCCCTGCACAATGCCTTGGCCAACATCAATGTCAATCACCTTGAAGAACTTGTCGACAATGCAGTGGGTAGTGGGTCGAGCATAGTGTCGTTCAAAGGCGCGCAAGAGGCCAGGAACCTTGTCGGCCACAATCTCGTGTAGCCGTGCTCGGTCGGTGTAGTTGAAGGCACTCTTGAAATCGAGGGAGAGCATGGTCCAGCCCGGGGTAGACTCACAGGCTTGAAGCTCACCAAAGGCCATGCCAACCGCTGCTGAAATGCCGTCCTTGACTCCGACGGCCAGCTCTGGACTGGCCTGTAGCAAGTGGGCAATATGGGGCTGCTGTTGCTCGAGCAGAGCGCGGTTGACAACCTTGTTGAAGATGGAATCCGTGCCCACAGGTCGAAACTTGCCATTGGCTTTCTCCAGGATAGTGTAGTTGATGGAGCAAAGGGCATGTCGAATCGACTCGGGCACGGTGTTGTTGGCAATGTGGTGAAAGATCTTGTTCAAGGCAACCTGAGGACCTCCAGTGGCGGTGGTGGGGCCCTGAGGCGCGTCTCCATCAGAAGGAGCAGTCGGGTCGCTGGTAGAACCCTGGCGTGGGCCCAAGACTTGACTGAAGTGCTCCTTGATGCGGTAGATGGAGGCAAGAAGCTCACCAGACCAACCATAGGGG